TATATATTTATATATAATATATTGTGTTTAAGACTAAAAATATAGTACATAATATTTTTTTAAAAGAATGAGAAAAGGAAACCAATTTTTTAAAAAAGAATGGGGGGGGGAAGAAGTGGTGAAACAGTCACAAATGTAGGTCTCCAGGGAGAGAAATCAAAAACACACCGGGGTGCCATCTCCCCGCGTTATCACCCGGTGCCCAAAGACCCGCGAGAAGTCAGATGGCTGGGCGCTCTGGTCGTGAAGCGCGTTTCGGGGTTGGAATTAGTTATTGCTCAAATTCTGGATGTTCACTGGGGAGTGGGGAGGAAGGGAAACGGCGTCTCTTGCTGACTGGAGGCTGAGACTGCCTGCGTCCGCCTAACCGCGTGGCCAGGTCAGCTGAGGTTCCAGCAGACGCCTTCACATAACACGCAAGCTTGGCTAACATGAAGCCGGATTTGCTTTTTCGCCGCCAAGCAAGCTGCATGACCCTGGGCATTTCGTAATGACTCAGGAAATGGGCTCATTCAGGACGAGGCTAAGGGCGTCGCGTGCTGTGTGAATGCAGCCGTGGGGCTAGACCTGGTGGGCCAAGGTGGCCCTGAGCTGCTGCTTCTGGTGCAGGGCACGGTTCCTCTTCAACTCACCCCGTTTCCTCGCTTCGTGCTTGCGGTATGAGGGTGGCGAGCAGAGGGCAGGTTCTGCAGAAGCTCCAGTCCCAGCATCACTGGTGGAAAAAGGGAGGTGGGCCCTGTGGGGCAGATTGGTCAAGTGCCCACTTGGCATTCAGCAATTTGCAAAGTGAGACAGACCTTTGGGCTCTCTTGCCCTCTCCAAGAGAGAAGGGAGAAATGCAACGTGATCTCAGTAGCTTCAGCTGGCTTTGCACCCTGAACCACCAAAGTCACCTCTCTTGGTTCCCCAAGAGCAGCCGAGCCGAAGGTGTCTCCGAAGGAAGACACCGGGCAGTCTGAGAAGGTGGCACCCCTTGGAAACACCCCTTGGAAAGTGCCCGTAAATCAATGGAAGGCCTCCTCGGGATCTTCCAGCCCCAGCCCAGTCGTGGAGACAGGAAGCATGAAGCGGGCCCCAGATAGCACCAACACCCACCAAGCTGCAGAAGGAGAGGACGCTTCCTGGAGTCAGCCAGAAGATGGCGCTGCCTCAATGCACCTTCTTAAGAGAGCAGTTCCCAGTCATGTGCAGAGGGCAGTCCCCCAGGGCTCTGTTCGAGTACCAGAAAAGTGGCATGCAAAGGAAGCAGGTACCGTTATGTAAGGGGGGGGAGTGATTCCCAGTTGTGCATCTTGCACGGCCCGATGTACACCTGAGATATGAACCGTGCCAAGGGGGGCTAGGAAGTTGGGGGCTTGTGGGGGGGATCTGGTGCATCCTAGAAGCCAAGTCTCGCCTCTCTCTTCCGGTTGACGGGCTGGGGCACCTCTGAGCCAGCAAACTGCCCCCCGACTTTGCTCTACCTTCTTAGCGGACCCACCAGAGCAAGCGTTTTAAGGCACAGGAGACCGAAGCGCTTACAGTCAGTCCCTAGCAAGGAGGACACAACAGTGCGGGGAACATCTGCACAGACACACAACAGACCACAGGATGCTTTCACCCAACCCTCTGCAAAAGGCCGACGGTTGGGGGCCCAGGCGGAGCCTTCAGAGAGAGAGAGAAGCCCTGAATGTGGGCTTACCTTCCTCCTGGGGGGGCAGAGCTCATTCCCAGACGGAGGGGAAGGGGTCCTGTAAGGTATGGCCCCTCAGGATGCGGCTGGGGGGCCGGGGCAGACGGACAGTGTGTCCGGCACAAGCCTTCCGAAGGACTGGTCTCCGGCACCGCCAGCCCTCCCAGCCAGTCCTGCAGCAGGGCTGCGCCTGAGAGAGGAGAGCCAGGCGGCGACGGCGGCGGAGGGGGCTCAAGCAAGCCCCCCAGGGTGGGGGTGGGGGCAGAAGAGGCTTCCTCCAGGGCGGCTACCATGGCAGAAGCTTTGCGGGGGACCCACAGTGCCACGTCCTGCAGCTCTTTAGCCTCCATTTCCGGCTCCAGAAGAGGCCCTCGGTTATGGCCTGGCAGGCAGGCTTGGTTGGTCCTGAGTGGCCCTTCTGTGGGCGGGGGGGCACCTGAGAGCAACCTCCAGGATTCCCCCTCCCTTCCTGCCCTGCGCTCCCACAACTGCTCCATCCAGGACCCCCTTGGGGGGCAGGTTTCATTAACACCTTCCAGAAAGGGGGAGGGGAGAGAAACACCCCCCCAGGAGTCCATTTCGTACCAAAATTTGCCCAATGCTCAGTGGTGGCTGAGATGGGCAGAATTTTCTCTCCATCCGCCTTCAGCAGCAGGGGCTCTGCGAGGTGTACGGACTTCAAGTTCAATAATTCCCAGCCCCATTTGCGAACCAGCTCTTAAGGGTGGTTTTAAGGACGCACGCCATTGTACCAGAGGCAGTCCTGACCCTGGCTTGTCCAGGGAGAGACAGGGCTAAAAGCCGACAGATACCCCCACTTGGCAGCTACCCCCAGCCCTAGGCCTCACGATGCCAAATTGGGTTGGCCCACCAGTGCCCTGTGTGGGACGTCGCCCGCTGCTTTTGTCTGATCCTGCCAACGGGTGCCTCTTCTTTCGGTCAAATGGAACAGGAGTTTCAAAAGAGGCAGGATGGAGAAAATCACTGCTCTGTGGCTGCCCCACTCTCTGGATTGGCGCCACTGCCCCCTCCCGTATCTGTCTTTCACAAAGAGGAAAGGGGGACCCTTTTGTGGAAGGGCGCCTGGAGAAACTGGACCCTCGCAAAGGAACCCCCGGAGAGTTAAAGCAGCAAGGAAGAAACCACGCAAGAACAGCGGGACAGGTGCCACTGTGTTGTCCTCAGTGGGGGAGGAGGTGCCACGCTGCATGGAATGTGAGTCCAGCCTGGAGAGAGGCCAGGGAGGGGGGAAGAGCCCCCTGAATATCAGGGGACAGTCATGAGGTACCTGCACCCCACCAGGACGTAACTCCCAGTTCAGACATGAGTCTGCATACGCTGCTGGAAACGCTGCCCGTAGTCCGAGGAGGTGTACGAAAAGCGGGTTGCCGTGGTGTACTTTCCCAGGGGGTCATACGTGTCGTAGGCTGCCCGGTCCAGGGCGGGTGGCGGAGGCTGGGTGTAGCCCAGGCGGTAGGTGGCATAGCCGGCACTCGGCGGGAAGCCTGCGTGCCCCCCGTAGTTTTCATAGGACAGCTGGCTAGCCGTGTCGGCAGTGGTCGTGCCCGGCGTGGGTCCCGGGACCGGGTCACCGCTGTACTCGGAGGCCGGGCCGCGGCTGTAGGTGCTGAGCTGGGCATAGCCGCTGGAGTGGGAGAGGCGCGAAGACGGTCGAGCGTCGTACCGAGCCGGGCCGGGGGCACGGTAGTCCGTGTAGAGCACCGTACGGGAGGACGGCCTGTCCTCATGGGCACGAACGTTGTAGTAGCCATTGGTTGGATCCTGGAGGGCGAGCAGGGACAGAAAGCGACCGGTGGAGCAGCACAGCGGTGGAGCGCTTCGACTGCCTAGCACTGCGGCGTCGCAACCGCTGCTGGGCGCAAAGAACGAAGCGCGGAAACGAAAATTGCGACCAGAAAAACAGCGCTCTGCCAGGCGGTGGGAGGCGCCCCGCCAAGCGTGTTGTGGTGGTGGCTGCTGTTGCCACTGGCCGAAGGTGGGAGCGCGGCCCTGAGACGCACCGCTTCAGCGAGGGTCTTCTCAAGAACTCGCAAGGCTCTTTGCTTTGTGGCCACAGCGGCCCCAGGGAGCACGTCCCCCACAGGAAAGGGCCCGAACTCTCCCAGGGTCAACCGGACTCTCACCCACACTCCTCAGCTGCCCCGTGGCAGGGAGCAAGAAAGGAAGGCCCCAGCCTGACCGGGAGGCGGTGGAAGGGGGACGGTGGTGGGACCGGCAGCCTCCCTCTTACCTTCAGCTCGTACTCTTCCCGCGTGTCAACGGTGTCACAACGCAAGTCCTGCTTCAGGTCCACGTCGTCCTTGAATGACTGCAGAGTGGGGATGGGGGGAGAGAAAGACCCCACATTTTAGCCTGGCAATACCTGTCTGCTGCTCTTTGTATCGGTCTGAAGGACAATTTTGCCCCCGTTATGTTCCCGTGGGGTCCCATGTAAACCTCGCTGGTGGTGGGATTTCGCCTCGTGCGAGCGACAGCCAGCTGTTTTCCAGAGACGGCCCTATTATGCCATGAGCCTGCCATGCTCACCGTTTCACAACGGCATTTTGCAAGTGTGTTTCACGACCACTACATTGCTCTCTCTCGCACACACACATTTTTCCTGAGCTCTGGCCCTTCACGCTGCATCCCGTACTTAATCCACAATGGCTGCCTGGAGGGGCTTAACACATTTCCCAACCAGATCGCAAGCCACAGCCACCCCCCTCTCCTTGATCTGGGCCATAATTTCAAAGGGCCAAAAGAAGAACAGTATTTGCCACGACTTCCGACCCTCAGGTTTCCGGACGAGCCCACAAACGGTCAAGTTAACGAAGAAATGGCAGTGGGAGCTGTGGAGCAGCCCGGGTGCCCCCTCACTCCTTTTCCTCCCACATTTGGGGTGAAGGGAGCGGGTGGGAGGGCCTCTAACCGAGTAAATGGCTTTCATGACGCGCGCTGCAGTGGAGACACTGGCCGTGTCCTCCTCCCGGTCCGTGTGCAGCGTCAGGGGCTCCCGGTTCACCGTCTCCACTTTGATGTCCAACTTGCGCAGGGTCACATCTTTTCGGCCTGGGCAGAAGAGAAAAATTCAGCCCATTTTTGATGCCTGGCAGCTGAAGAGCCCCGGGGTTTCCAGCGCTAAGCACTATTCCCCTCAGGGAGTGGCTCTTCCTGCCGGGGGGCAGAAACAGCACCCAACTAGTTTCCCCACCCGACTAAATCCCATCCGGCGTGCTGAGAAAAGAGCCGCTTGGAGCCGCCTGGGGCCTTTCGGACAAAGTTTTGCGTTGCCAGGTCCAGCTGGCAGGAGGAAGGGCAAGGCGGGTGCTGGGGAAGCAGGTCAGAAGGCGTCGCCCATCTTACGTGGCATTCCCACACAACGTGGGCGCTAGATTCAACCCTGACCTGACTGATGGAACGCGGGTCATCCACGGGCTCGGCTCGAAAAGGAAATGAGAGAAACAAAGGACCACGGAAGCTGAGCTTCGGGCAAATGACTAAAAGGAGCTTCCCCAGCTAGGAGCAGCCTGCCGCTAAATAAATACTGGCTACTGTCGCCTCATCCGGCACGACCCGGTTATCCCACGAACGCCAGACACTCACTCCCTTTGCGCCGTCGGTACAGGAAACAGCCCAGCGCGAGGAAGCAGAAGATGAGCAAAATACCAGCTCCAATGGTGGCACCAGCAATTATGCCCACTGGCAAAACCTCTGTGAAGGGGAAATGGGAAGTGATGTGAAAACGAGGCCCCCTCAGTCGATCAAGGCTTCACATCTCGGGAAGATACTGAATACTATAAAATATGGCAGCATGAAACTGAGCAAACTCAGGGAGGCAGTGAAGGCCGGGGAGGCCTGGCGCAATATGGTTCATGGGGTCACGAAGAGTCGGACACGACTGAACAACAACAAAGAGAGTAAATATGAAAAAGAGTAATAGAAAAAGTTAAGAAGTTTAATTAAATGATATGTGATGTTTTATTTTTATTGATGATACATATATATCTGGATATATTGGACATATGACAATATGATCATGCACATCTGTATTTGTAACCCGCTTTGACTCGCTGTTCAATGTTTGGTAAGATTTTTTTAAGAATAAAAGAGCTAAATAAAAAAAAAAAAGGCTTCACTCTCTGCTCTCTCTCTTCACGTTCGGAGTCGCAGACGCGCCGTGCCACCTCCTCCTGGAGGGCGAGTGGCGAGGAAAGAGGAGCAGCCCCAGGGAGAGGCCAAAGGAGAACCAGCCACGCCCTTCCACGCTCAGCAGCGCCACCCGAAGGCAGGACGCTCCCTGGGGCGGGTCGCGAGGTGTGAACGTGGACCGCGGACCGCTGAGGCCTGCACGCTCAGGGCCGCCGGTGCTGGGCGGGTCGGCCTCCCTTTCCCAACCCGCTCGTGAGCTTCCCCGGGGCACGGGGGCGGCCTGCAGGCAGCGGAAGGGCTGCAAGGAGGGCCCTCCCGGCCCTCGCCACCTGGCTCCTCCTCCGCCCACCTTTCTCCTCCAGCTGGATGATGGCCGTCCGCGGCCCGAAGGCGTTCCAGGCGGTGCAGTTGTAGCGTGTCTGGAAGTCCACCTCCATCACGTTGTTGATGGTGAGCGTGGAGAGCACCCCGTCCCCGGTGTTGCTCCGCTCGACGGTGTAGCGCTCCAGCGTGCCGGCCTCCAAGATGTTCTCCTTCCAGCCCCACGCCTTCGAGCGGGGTGGGACCACCGGGGGGGAGAAGAGAAAGCCGCTCTTGAAATCCACCAGCCACCCATCCAGGTCTCCTTCGGGAGACCCCAAATTCCTAAAGGCTCCCGGCATTCCTCTTGCAAACCGGTCTCGCTAACGTGGGCCCCCCCGGCGCCATGGAAGGACTCACTATTCGGTCGGGGAGGGGGGTGCTCCCGATGAAGCATTCCACTTTCCCTCGGTCGCCCCGCACGGCATACTGGACCGAATCGCTGGAAATGATAGGAGGACCTGGGGAAAACGTGGGGGAAGGACAGCAAAGGGGTTACCCCTGGGTGGCGGCCTCTCCTCCGCCAGAAGGAAAAGAATGGTGGTTTGTTGGGAATGGTGGTTTATAGACCTTTGAGCCACCAGCGCTCTGCTCTGCTCTGCCCCTTTGGCTCGGAAACCACCTACCCAGGTGAGCAGTCGGCACAGTCTCGGAGGTGTTTAGAGAGGACTGCGAGGAGGACTAAGGAACTGCTTCCGCTTCAACCCCCTGAGGTCAGATCCTGCTGCTAAGTCGCCCGGCGGAGGGGTTTTCTCTCCCCTAAGGGCGCCCCCCATTCCTTTCCCTCCCCAGGGAAAGACGAGCCTTGGGGCCTCCAAAGCAGCTCCCCCCTGCAGCCTCGCCCAGTCGGCGGACGGCGTCCCTCCGTCACTCACCGTTGACAAAAAGGGCCACTTCGCGCTCACCCACCCCGATCCGCGGCACGATGGCCTTGCAGACGTACAGCCCCGCGTCTGCCTGCGTGACGGACTTCAGGTACAGCTGGTTGCTGTTGCTGAGTATCTGGGGGGCAAACAGAGGCAAGATGCCTTTGGCGGAGGGGAGAGAGGGTGGGCCCAGCAAGGGGCAGCGGCTTTCCTCCCTCCCAAGAAAACCCAGTTGGGACACGGTTTCAACCCCCACCCAGCTCTGGGCCGGCTTCTGAGACCAGACGCCCCCCGCCCCGGACACAGGGAGGGGCGCACCATGTTGGATTCCTTCCTGGCCCAGGTGAGGGTGAGGGGGGGGTTCCCGGTCCACACGCAGGTGAGGGTGACGTCCGAGCCGATGTCAGTAGTCGTGGGCTTTGGATCCACCACGATCCGAGGAGCGACTGGCAGAGGAGAGCAGGGTAAGAGACGCCAAGGGAGCGGCCCCTCCTCCCTCAAGGGCCCAAGTGGAACCAGGGAGCCCGGGACCTTGTCGGGAGTGCAGGTGGGGGTTGAAAGGTTTGGGCTGGAAGTGGGAGGGGCCGCGGGAAGGAGGCGCGGCTTGCCCGGAAAGGGTTGCCCTCTCCAGCCTCATGGCTCGCCCGGCCCGGCAGGGCAGCCTCGGCCCTCCACTCACAATGGACGTCCACCAGAGTGCTGACGTTGGTGCTGCCCACGTCGTTGCGCACTTCGCAAGAGACAGGCTCCGTAAAGAAGGTGTAATCCACCTGCGTCTCATATTTGTTCTCCTTGGCGTCCTCAATAATCGTTCCGCCTTTGGCCCACCTGGCAGGGTTGGAGGACAGACATCCCATCGGGCCCGGCATTTGGGGAGCCAGAGGAGCCCCCCTGAAAAAGCAGTGGAGGCTCTGGATGCCCACCAGCCCCCCTGCCCCTCTCGAGAGCAGCGCCCAGCTCACCTGTAGCCTTTGATCTCCGGATTGGCGTTGGCCAAGCAGGTGAAGGTGACTCGTTCGCCTTCCTGCACCGTCTGCGGCTGGATGGACAGCGTCACCGTCGGAGGGTCTGCCGTGCAGAAGGAACTGTTAGCAGCCCCGCGGCTGACGGCTGCGTGTTTCGCTTTGATCGGGGCCTGCGACCGCCAACTGTTGTCAGCTGTGACCAAACAGTGGTTTGGAAGCCGCTGTGGTCAGCAACACCCCAGATTTCTTGCCGTCTGGCTAACGGCTGCAGGGCCTTTGACTGCCGCCAAATTCCTCCTAGGCGCGCTGCAGAAGCATCCTCCTTTGCCAGGCTCCCGGAGGGGCCTGCAGCTAGGCTGGCCATGCCATGCCATGCGCCAGCCGGCTAAAGCTCCCACTGTCCCAGCCAGATGAACTCCAGAAGCAAATATTAACAAGAGACTCTGCCGTCTCTTCTCTTCCAACTCTGCCAGCCCCCGAACCCGAGCCCGTCCCGGGCAAGCCAGCCGTGCTCCTCCCCTTCCTCCACGGCTAGGAGGAGCCCCTTCTGAACAAAAGCCTTCTGTGAAGGCTTGGGGCCCGGGGCCCCAAAGGGGCTCTCCTTACGGTGAACATTCAGCTTGATGGAGGCCTCCTTGCCCGCAGGGATGGCATCGTTGCTGCAACGGCACACGTAGACTCGCCCGATGTCCAGGTCGGTGGGCGTGATGAGCAGGTGGCTAATGGTGGTCTCTCTCTTTCCATCCATCAGGACCTCCTGGAGCGGCAACAGGAGCAGGGAGCGTGGGAAGATGGCCAAGGGGAGCCATCAGGCCCTCTAGCCCAAGGCCTGGACTCTCTCCTCCGTCAGAAAGGCACAGCTCACCCTGGCGCAGCCTCCCTCCCCGGGCTCAAGACTGGCCTGCACTGTACTCTGGGGAATACCCGCCCCCCCCACCCCGCAAGGGATCCCGGAGTCCTCTTTGGTCTAGGCGGTCCCCAGGGGAGGCTTCTGCAAAGGGGTATCAGAAGCGAAGCTGCACCACAGAGCCTTGTTAGAAAGATTCCCCAAAAGGAAACCTGCTGCGGTGCCCAGGAGCCCTTCCTGTGCCCTGCCACGAAGCGGGGGGTAATTGCGCCAATCATCACTTCCAAATTAGCCTGGAACCAAAGCCTTTCCAGGCCGTTTCAGCCATGCCTATTAAATGCCCAACGAGGTCGCCCAAATTAATGTCAACGCGCCATAAACTGCTTGGGGATTAATGAGCGAAAAACGGCCCTCGCAGGAGTGAGTAGGCTGACGAGGCTGCCAGTGGGAAGGTTATTCTGCAGTTGCTGGAGAGAAATGAAATTAAGAATGGGGCGGGGGGAGGGAAGCGCTCCCCCGAGGGGGGAGGAGGTGGCAAGGAACCCATTTGCAGCCGGGCAGGATTCGCCCTTCTCACACAGCGCTGAGGGCACAGAGGCGGGATCTGCAGCACCTCTGAGCGTCTCAAGAGAGGCTGGCTGGGAATTAGGAGGGTTGCAGTCCGATACGTCTGGAGGGCACCAGGCTGGGGCGCACTGAGCTCCCGCACTAGTTCCACTGCAGACCTCGGCCTCGGATCGCGCCGAGGAGGGTCAACTTCTCAAAGGGCATTCAGGCCCCACGCAGCCCTCCCGCCGCAGCCGCCCAGCGTACCGTGGCGGTGGCAGCTTCGGACTGCGGCAACCCATCGCGGAACCAGACGATCGAGGCTGCGGGCTTGGCGTTTTGCGCCCGGCAGGTGAGGTTGTGCGGTGTGCCTGCACGGAGCAGGATCTCGGGGGCCCCGTCAATCACAGGGTCTTCGGGGGGAACTGCAAGGGAAGCAGAGACAGCCAACCATGTCCACAGGTCACAACCCGGATCCTCAACAGAAGCCCAGCGGTTTGGGGCCCCAACTCTTGTGCAGAGACGGAGTTGGGGCCCCTCCCCGCTGGGGGTGCTGCAATGGGCAGCTGCGTCACAGCTGGGCCAGGAGAGAGAAAGAGCAGCAGGACTGGCCGTCTCTGGAGAGAAGTGCACGGCGCACAGATCAAAAGGCACACACATCTTGCCTTCCCTCATCTTTCTTTCAAGCAGTCTAATTTTAAAACTAGCTCAGTAGAAGCGAGCCGGAGGAGAGGGGGGGTCTCCCAGCCCCTCAAGGGAGAGGAGGAAACAGGCAGGCAATTCTGGGATCCTGGAGATGCATCACTGGCAAGAAGGACTCTGATCGAGTCCTCCCTCTTTCTCCCCCCCCCGGAAGATTCAGCCCGGCAACCGTCATGCAGAAGATGAAGAGCCTTGCCTGTTCCTGTGATGGATCCATCTTTCTTAGATCAAGAGAAGATCACGGCTGATTTATTACTCTTTCACTTAAAAGTAATAACACCGACACGGCAAAGACTTTGTTCCAGGGAAGAGGGATTGGGTCGGCCCAGCCCAAGGGCCCGGCTCCTGGCCCTGAACAGGAAATGGACGAGGGGGCAGGCGGGGCAGGGGGGGGCAAGCCTGGCTGAGCCAGGCGGAGCCACGGGGTCTCCCCACCCCAAGGAAAAGAAGGGGCAAACGAGGCTCCATCTTTTAGCTACCCTCCAGTTCCCGGTGGAAAAGGCAGTGGGAAATCAGCAGAAATCCCCATTCCCCCCCACTTTTTATGAAGCTCTGAAAAGGGAAAAAATTCAGCACCCGGAGCCGCTGTAATTCTAGCTGGCCATGAATATATATTAACGCATTAACGGAGGGGGGGTGCACGCAGTCCACGGGAGGGAACACCAGCACGTGGGACGGGAGGGAAGAGGGGAGGGGAGGCCGAGTTGGTGGGCTCCAGACATGTTTCCCCAAGCAGGAGCCACGCATTTCTCCCCAAGTGAGGAACGAGGCGAGGCGCTTGCTGGCTGCAGCCTCCTTCCGGGACTCCAGGCTCCGGGGAGGGCCAGCCCTGGCTGCTGAAAGCGCTCCCTATAAAGGGATCAGGGCCAGCGACAAAAGACGCCTCCCTTTCAGGGGGACGGGCTTTCTCCAACAAACGGATCACATTGGAGGGCAGAAGGAGAAGTGCTCAAAACCAAACTCGGGACCCCCCCCCGGGTAAACACTCACTGAGGACTGTCAGCTTGGCACGCCGCGATCGCAGGGCAGCCTCTGTGGCCTGGCACTCATATAAGGCATCGTCGGAGAGCTCCGCATCAGTGATCTCCAGGTTGAACTGGCCGGAATCCGTAGCCCCGATGATCCGGTAGCGTGGCCAGGCTGAGGAAAGAGAGGCGGGTGAGCAGGCAGCCGGGCAACACGCAACGCCGAGCAGAGCGGGGCCTGGTCCCCGGCCGGCCTCACCGTCCCTTCCCCGGCAGCACCTCCGTTCCGTTTTGCCCGCTTTCTGCTCCGCCTGGACTCAGCAGGGCCCTGCAAAGCCTCTTCCAGCCCACCTGCGAACTCCATCATTTACTCGTGCACAGTATTTGTGAGTGAATGTCCGTTGGGCAGCATTGCCTCCACAACAGATTTGGGGGACACCCCACCCCACCTTCCCTCCCACCTGCACCCTCTGGACATTTCCACAGGATTTGGTCTGAATGTAGCACTGGGCTCAACACTCAGTGGCTATAGGTAAGTTCCTAGTCCTTAGGATGTCTCCAAGGAGAGCTTGAACATACATAACCTCCCCAACCAAGAAGACATGTGGGAAGCACGTGAGTGGCACCATTCCCAGTGGCCAAGAGATGGGGGCCCACGGCCCAGCCTAGTTCACTGCCCCACCCCAAGCAACGCAGGAGAATGAGCCGAACAGGCCCCCAAAGCAGGTTTTTTCTTCTGCATTGAGTCGGGTCACCTTGGTATAAAATTCAAGTGTCTTAAACAGTGGATGATCACTTGTGAGGAATGAAAGCAGGCTAGGCAGACGTCTGTGGAATAAAAAATCGCAGAAAGCTGCCAAATTAATTAATAAGAAGGGGCAGATGAATTGGGGGCTCCGTCAGTCAGCTCTCTGGGCCGGAGAGGTGGCGCTGCTGGGCTGCGTGGGAGCGAAGCGGGCTGGAAGGGGGTGCGGGTGGTGCGG